TTCTTTGACCATTTAATATGCAGATTTCATTTTTTTTCCTTGAGGACCCATAAAGGAGGAAAATATGTTAATTCAATAATTGTATTTAAGCCCCAAGCCAAAACTGTCTCTATTTGTGCCTATAGATAAAAGTCGTTCATATTATATGTTATAATTTAGACTGTCCCTCTGACTGGAGTGTCTTCGAGAACTCTTGCTACTTCATCACTGCTGAGAAAACGAACTTTTTGAATGGCTTGGTTAGTATAGGATATAATTTTAATTGGTTTACAATGGGTACGTATTCCATAAGTATTTCAAATATTGATATAAGAAAATGTATCATTTTTCATGAAATATTTCTTCAAAATAAATAATTAAAAAAGTTCTTATTGATTTTATTTGTATGAACATTAATAAGATGACACATTATACTTTTTAGAACAATTAATTATTGGCTTAAAAATATATGAGCCGCGTCACGACAAAACCAACTTAGTAGGTTTGCGACCAGCATGGATCCAGACCAGCCTGCGCATTCGCGCAGTCTGATCAGGATCCATGGTGTTCGCTTACCAACCCTATAATAAGTAGAGAAACTGATAGCGAACAGCATGGATCCTGATCAGACTGCGCGGATGCGCAGGCTGGTCTGGATTATGGAACGCCTGGACTGTCTTATGTTAAGGATGAATGATATACCTGGTTAAATGTCTTTCTGTTGAGTCCGAGATACAAAATGCTGGGTGGAAACCCTAATGTGCTCAGTTATTGAAGTGCTATGTTGTGTGCTGACTGTATTTTATTCAGTCAAGTCAATGTATTGTCGGGTGCATAAGTCAAACAGGCATGTGGTAACACAATTATGTTGAGTTAAAAAGATATGTTGTAGGGTGTTACAGTTATTATGTTCGGTTATAATATTATGCTATTTGGTGCTCTTCTCATCATGTTCAACCATGAAAATCAACAGTTGAGTGGTACTATCATTTTGTTAGGCTGAGGCAGTGTATTTTTGGGTGATACTTTTATTATTTTCAGTTGCAATGACATGCTGTTGGATGCTTTATTCCTTCTGTTCAGTCGTGAAATAGAACTGTTAAATGGTACAATCATTATCTTAAATGGTACTATCATTATCTTGTGTGCTGATTATATCTTCTTCAGTCAAGTCAATGTGTTGTTCGGTGCGAAGGTCGTTATGTTCAGTGGTATTTTGGTACTATCATTCTGTTCAGTTCAGATGATATACAGTTCGGTGCAAAGGTCATTATGTTCAGTAGTGAACACAAACTGTTGTGTGATACCACAATTATGTTGGGTTCATTCGGATATTTTCGGGCAACAAGATGGGAGCGACTAATTTCCATAGGTCACGTCGAGGCTAATGACCACTAAATTGCCAAAACAATTTTCTTCCCCGTAAATATCATCGGGGGCTTAAGAACGTAATTTTCATAAATTGTACTTTTAAATACCCGATGGGTATGTTATTTAGTTAATTTATGACTATACTATACTGTGACAGTCATAATTGGTACAGTATATAAAACTTAAAATATGGGTAAGGGTAGCCTGTTAAAGTCACACATGACCACCGTAAATAAAACTTAAAAAATTGATCTGTTTGGTAACCTATAAGAGTCACAAATGGACACAGCAAACGAAATTTAAAATATAAAACATCATGTACAAGTAAGGGGACCCTATTTGAGTCACACATGGCCACAGTATATGGAGCATATAAGTAAGGGTAGCCTATTAAAGTCACATATGGCCACAGCATATGCAACTTAAAATATATGTGTTGGTAACCCATTTGATTCACACATAACCACAATAAATGGAACATAATATCTAAGTAAGGGAAACCTATTTGAGTCACACATGGCTACAGTATATGGAACATTAAATATAAGTAAGGATAGCACAACAAAGTCACACACACCCACATTATGAAGAACATTCTATATAAGTAAGGGTAATTGAGTCACACTAGGCCAAAATATATGGAACATTATGTTTAAGTAAGGGAAATCTATATGAGTCACACATGACTAAAGTATATGGAAGATTATAAAATTATATAAATAAGGGTAGCCTTATAAAATTAGACTCAAATACATTTCCCTGACTTAAACATTATGTCTTATATATTGTGGCCATGTGAGACTCAATAAGGTTTCACTTACTTATATAGAGTTTTCTTTATAGTTGGCCATGTTTGACTTTATTAGGCTACCCTTACTTATATATAATGTTCCATTTACTGTGGTCATGTATGTCTCAAATGGGGTTTCCATACTTATATTTAACGTTCCATATGCTGTGGCCATGTGTGACTCAAATAGGTTTGCCTTACTTGTATATTATGTTTCATATTTTAAATTTCGTTTGATGTGTCCACTTGTGAGTCTAAAAAGTTACCAACACATATATTTTAAGTTTTATTTACGGTGGTCATGTGTGACTTGAACAGGCTACCCTTAACCATATTTTAATTTTAATATACGGTGCCCATTATGACTGTAACAAATTAACTTGATAAAATACCCATTGGTTATTAAATATGCCATACGATCTGTCCAAGTTATGGAAATAACGTTTTTAAGATCCCGATGGTATTTACGGGGAAGAAAATTGTTTTGGCAATTTAGTGGTCATTAGCCTCGATGTGACCTATGGAAATTAGTTGCTCCCGCCCACCATCTTGTTTGACGCGAAGATATCCGAATGAACCCAACATAATTGTATGACCACTCAGCGCATTGTCAAATGACTTGTGCACCGAACAGTATATCATCTGAACTGAACATAATGACGGTATCACACAACAGTTTGTGTTCACTACTGAACATAATGACCTCTGCACCAAACAGGATATCATCTGAACTGAACATAATGACGGTATCACACAACAGTTTGTGTTCACTACTGAACATAATGACCTCTGCACCAAACAGGATATCATCTGAACTGAACATAATGACGGTATCACACAACAGTTTGTGTTCACTACTGAACATAATGACCTCTGCACCAAACAGGATATCATCTGAACTGAACATAATGACGGTATCACACAACAGTTTGTGTTCACTACTGAATAGAATGGCCTCTGCACCAAACAGTATATCATCTGAACTGAACATAATGACGGTATCACACAACAGTTTGTGTTCACTACTGAACAGAATGGCCTCTGCACCAAACAGTATATCATCTGAACTGAACATAATGACGGTATCACACAACAGTTTGTGTTCACTACTGAACATAATGACCACTGCACTAAACAGTATATCATCTGAACTGAACATAATGACGGTATCACACAACAGTTTGTGTTCACTACTGGACATAATGACCTCTGCACCGAACAGTACATCATCTGAACTGAACATAATGACCTCTGCACCGAACAGAATATCATCTGAACTGAACATAATGACGGTATCACACAACAGTTTGTGTTCACTACTGAACATAATGACCACTGCACTAAACAGGATATTATCTGAACTGAACATAATGACAGTATCACACAACAGTTTGTGTTCACTACTGAACATAATGACCTCTGCACCGAACAGGATATTATCTGAACTGAACATAATGACAGTATCACACACCATTTTGTGTTCACCATTGAACATAATGACCTCTGCACCGAACAGTATATCATCTGAACTGAACATAATGACGGTATCATACAACATTTTGTGTTCACTACTGAACAGAATGACCTCTGCACCGAACAGTATATCATCTGAACTGAAAATGATGATAGTACTATTCAACAGTTCTATTTCACGACTGAACAGAAGGAATAAAGCACCCAACAGCATATCATTGCAACTGAAAATAATAAAAGTATCACCCAATTATACACTGCCTCAGTCAAAAAAAAAATGATAGTACCACTCAACTGTTGATTTTCATGGTTGAACATGATGAGAAGAGCTATTTTAACCGAACATAACAACTGTCACACCCTACAACATATCTTTTTAACTCAACATAATTGTGTTACCACATGCCTGTTTGTTTTAACAACTGAACAGAACGACTTATGCACCCGACAATACATTGACTTGACTGAATAAAATGTGATCAGCACACAACATTACACTTCAATAACTGAGCGCATTTGGATTTCCACCCAGTATATTGGGATTTTGACCCAGCATATTATATCTCGGACTCAACAGAATGACATTTAACCATGTATATCAGTCATTCTACACATAAGACAGTCCAGGCGTTCCATACTGGATCCATGCTGGTCGCAAACCCATTATGTTGGTTTTGTCGTGACGCGGCTCATATATAATTATTTCATGGATTGTTGTTATGTTTGACTCTAAAATGTAAAAACATAATTATCAATTGTAGTACAGAGCTTCAATTATAGAACGATTCAGTTTTAGTATGATTTTGTTCCATTCACCATTTCGTACCTAATGAAGGATTCAAAGAGAAACTGTATGGGCGCAAAAATTATTAATTCCTAATACCAACACAAAGTAACCATTTAGTATTTCACACTTACATTCGCAATAAAGTAGTTCTATGTTGGTAAAAAACTAAGCACTTGAACAATTTATCTCTCGGAACAAAGCTTGTAGTGATTTTAAATTAAAAGGTAAGAATTTAATTAAAATAATATACAATTTCAATTTCAAATTCAATGCATGTCTTGCTCTATTTAACAATACCCACAAAACGCAAATATTAATTGAGTTTTTTTGTTGATTCAAACATTTTTGCACTTGTCTTTGTGCATAAATTAGTTTAACTATTTGTTTAAATTTACAGTATGATTAAAAAAAATAACAGTGTTTTTGTGATTCAAATCACAAACTGGATATCAAGTGGTGAATAATTGATATCTAGTTAATAATGTTATCAATAGCAATATGCGGGTGTTCGGGTGTTTTCAGCAATTTATTGATTTGAGTAAATTAGCATCCATTATCCATTTTGTATCTTAATCACATGCCAATCTACCAATTATTGTAAAAGGCTAAAAACTTAATTTATCATAAATCTTTTAAACATACTTATTTTCCGTAATTTTATAATTTGTTGAGTAATTGCATAATTTACAATAAAAAGTAATTATCTTTTTTGTATATTTTAAATTTTCTGAATTTAGGAAATGTGCAGGTCATTTGACGCACGTCCTGTGATAATAGATGACGAAAATGAAAACAACTTTGTCAAGGAACTCATTCGGTCAACGACGGACCAAAGTTCGTATATCTTAAAAATTCTTAAATCATTTTCAATTTCTTTCCTCGGTTCGTTTTCTATCGGCATTCGTGATTATATTACTACGCATTTAAACTCAAACCGTATATTATTTTACAACAATCACTCAGAATTGATATCTATTTCCTAATTTTATTAACTTGAGCGTTGAGAAAGCTCGAACCACACTTTACCCACATTCGAGTCGGCTTTCAGGTGCTAACCAGTATTGATGCCATTCGATCAAATGTGGTCATGACTCCAGTAACGTTCCGTAATAACAAGGCCGTATTTAAACGTGTTAAAAAAAACTTACTGCTTAAAACCATTGTTTGACTCAGCTGCCTGCTGATCATGTGTTAATATGTATGGCTTTAAAATAACTCTGGGAATGACGACTTCGGGATCATAATTATAATCTTATTGGAGGTAAAGTATTTCTTTCAAGGACGAAGCTTTTTGTTTAATGATATATTGGAAGAAATAGAAGCAAATATATTAGTTTATGGGATTATTAATTGTTGTTTAAACAGACGGAATATATCAAGGTTGTATTTTCTCTTTAGTACATTCATGTTATAAATGATTCCCCATTGAGCAAAGTACATCTCAATTACTAGTCATTTTAAGATCATGACTTTTAAAAAAGCCCGTGTTTAATTTAAGTTGGATTTCAAGGTGTTTTTTTTCCCATGTATTCAATACCCTTTTCACTGCAAGTGATTACACAATGTAACAAGATTCATGATTGCATGCCATCGTCTTGATTTTGTTTGACATGTGCTATTCAGTACAATGTTTGATGACTACATTAAATTTCAAGATAAGGACGATGAAAGTCTTTACGAGCCTAAGTCAATTCTTTTTACAAATCAACCTAAAGGAAATGAAAATGATTAGGGCTATGTCGCAAATGGGGAGTCATGTAGAACACACATCAGCGCACTCTGATCTGGTTTTATTATTTTTGAAGCTTAATGTAAGTGTTTTAAAAATCCTTTAAGTTTGAATAGACTGAAATGTTAATATATATAATTTTCTTTTGATAAAAGGTCATTTATTAAACTTAATTATGTTATATAACTTTTTTCAGATAACGATACTGCTTTCTTAACTGGATTCACAGATTTACTCACTGAGGGTACCTGGGTAGAATACGGTACCAATAACCAAATGACCTTCCACGATTGGGGCAGCGGTGAACCAAACTTAGGAACGCTGGAAAATTGTCTGGCATTCTTTTTCCCGATGGACTTGAAATGGGTCGATATTCCTTGCGATTGGAACCTGAGAATGATATGCGAGATAGATGCATAACCGAATGTGCTACAAATTTTATGACATTGTATTTTATATCGTGTTTGATTCAGTGTTTGTTTGTTTGTTTGTTTGTTTGATGTTGTTGTTGTTTTTTGTTTTGTTGTTTTTTGTTGTTGTTGTTTTTCATACAGGACTTTGTGTGAAATGAATCCAGCCGATCACCTAAAGAGAAGTGTTTGTGTGAATATTTGTTCGTATATAAAACAAACAAACAAATGAGGCAATTAATGTGGTTTCTTCTGTTTTATATTGTCGAAAACACGCCAACCAACCGTGGATCAATCAATTAGTAAAATGCTTTGACAAACAAACTGGCTATAAAATGGCTGCAAATGCTAATGAACATTTATGGAGTATTTTCCTAAAGCTTATATAATTTCATGTTAGAGATGAAATCAACTCAAATAAAGACCGTCATTTAATGGGGTATCCTGGCAACAACAAAATTTGGACGTGATTTCGATTTTTAACAAAGCGCTTTGATGTAATTTTGTGAGAAACTTGGAAATGTACCAATTGAAACAAAACTCTTGTTGGAAATGTCATCCGTTGGGAAGACAGTCAGGCAGGTGCATTTTTACGAGTGGCACAGGCGATTTAACGAAAATATGCGCAGACATTCTTGAACATCCTTTTGAACTTTTTCTTTCATTACAGACAAGAAACTCAAACAAGATTCAGATGAGTTTAAGGATTTAATCATACTCCTGCTAAGGCAATATGTTTAAAATAATTGCAAGGCATTGATATTTTGTTTTAACACAGTCAGATATCAAGAAATTTAAAGATTTGGTCCAACAGGTTTGCTTGTTTTTTTCTTTTTCTTTCGTATTTTTGGTGTGTGGGTGGGAAGCGGGATACGTTCATTTTATGACGTCATGACATGTCGATCTTGTTTGGCATATTTTATGTTTTACTATTGCGTTATGCTCATACTTTAATTCAGTCTCATTTGTTACATAAAAATTTACATACAAACATTTAACATGGCTTTCCTACTTAAAATAACGTACATTATCTGGAAATACGATGAAAAATGGTCAGTTTTAATTAATATATCGTTGAAAACATAAATTGTTTGTTATTTTGTTGTTTTCATGTTTTATAAGATATATATCTCAGTTTGCATATTTACAAAACAAAAACATGAGAAATGTATCGTTAAGTAAGTTATCAAAGGGAGGTGGTATTTGATACTTTTCTAAAATTAGTTTTCGTTGTTTCCTCAAATAGAATTCTATTTGAAAGACCCTGCCTTGAGCAAGAAAAGTTACACTCATTAATAATAACTTGTTGGTTCAAAAAACGGATTCGGGAAGGGAATATTTCAATGACCTGATAGTTTCAATCACAATCTTAAATAAATTCTGTATAAACCAATCTTCAATAATTAACGTATCCGAATTAATGTTACGTAAGTGTCAGAAAAATAAAACAACGCTGTGATAAAGTACGGCACAACTTTTTACATATTTACACATTACCTGTAGTTGTAGGTTTAAAAAACAGAAACGTTAAGTCCCTCAAAAACACTGGTCTAAAAAATCAAAAAGGTGAAAATTGCAGATTCGGTTTGATAGTGATCATGGAAGGTTGTAATTGGTGCAATAATACGAACGGTAGCACTGGCGTTATCAGATAATATCTTCAGTACTAAATGTGTTAGATTTTTATGATATTGAGATAATGAATAATTATGAAATACTAAAATAATTCACAATCGCTAAAAGTTTGATTAAATCGTTTGGTCAACAAAGATGATGTTGTCAGCATGCTTATCAATTTATATATATATATCATCTGTCATGAGATAGAGAAAGTAATAAACTTATCGAGTAGCATATTCTCACTAAATACATCACTCTAGAAAATTCACGTTCATAGAAGTTCAACATTCAAAGTAAATGGCGAACAATGCATTCTATTTAGATTTCATTCATTAAAATAAAAGTTGAAAAACATACTACGGAAATGCTTAAAATTTTACCAAATGACAGCATAAGTGTTCCCTGGACTATGTTTAAACAGACAGAAGTCATGTAAACATGTGAACAATATGTACAGAAAAATATAATTGTAGGACAAATCGGCTTGTTTACTTTTACAGGAAAACCACTCAGGCTGTCAACACACAGAATAATGGTGATTGTGCATTCTGCACTGTAATCTATCAAAATTCTCATTATACAGGATTGTACGACCGAGAATGTTGCCATTGAATAGATCCAAGTTATAACGTGAACTTTACAAATAAATAGTATATAAGAAGAGTATATAAACAGTAAAGGATAAAAAACAAAAAGGATAGCGATAGCAAGCTTAACCACTGGTATCGGATATTAAAACATTTCGTGTTTTCAGAATAAACAGAACTTATGGATAAAGTACTAACGTGACCAGACAAAGACCTTTACTCAACCTTTTAGCTATATGACACAGCTGCACAAATATCCCCATTCCTTAGAGGTTAAAATTTCCTGTAACGTTCAATTTATAAAAAAAAGTAGGACAGTCTTTAGTGTTGTTATATTTTTCTGGTCCTTCGTGATCATTGATGCCAGCACTATTAAATGTTGCGAATTGAGTACCGCTCAAGCCGGTGCTAAGGGGCGTTTGGGATGTTGCACTTATTCAGTATCCCTCATGTACAGACTCAATCAAACCGAGTCTTCAATTTTGATTTAATTTTGTTGTTATTAATACTTCCGAGGGATCACTTTGTTTCCAGATTTTTATATATTCAAGGCAGATTAATATTTACTTTAAAACTTCATTCAATATTAACTGTTTGTCAATCACCAATATAACAGTCACTATTTTAAAATTAAAATATATAGTCAATTAATCTCAACTTCACAAGGAAAATAAATGAGCAAATCTCATATTAGTTGATTTACATTAAAGTAATTTGTTCAGTTTACTTACTGTGTTACTCGTTTTGACCATAGCCTTTAACACAATCTGCGTTCCCTTACACAGTTCATGCGTTATTATCAACTTCCCCGGTCTCCTGTCACCTTCCCCTTTGTGAGCCTTTTATTATTTTCTTTGAATTCCTAATCAGTTATAAATTATTTATCATTTAATGATTAACCTGTCCGTGCTCTGTCTTTGCCCTGTCCTGTTTTTGTTTGGGGTCCGCCTGGGCTCCTTGCCATTGGTTCTTGTTGCTGGGTCATATGGGGGTGCGTTCATTGAACGCCGCCTTTCCTTGTTGATCTTGTTTATCATATTTCCTGCAGCTCTAGATATACCAGTGGTATTTATATGTTAATAATTGTTAAAAAACTAAACAAATATCAATTTAAAATCCGTGTTATTTTCCGAAAAAAATAAAACACATATAAAATTGAAACATTGCCTCTAGGATGACGTGTGCGCAGTGAAGTTGCCAAAAACCAGAAGTTCAATTAGGCACAATTTTAACAATACTATTTGTATTTTGTTTTGATGCTTTATTTTGTTCCTTGTTACTGCACTAGTGGTAAGTACTTGTATGAAACGATGGACCACCATTCTTTAACATTTCCGATCAATCTTTTTCTAATTGGTGTTTTATTTGTTTGGGTCGTCAGACCAAACAAATAAAGGTAGCGAATATTTAGAGCCTAATTCTGTTAATTGCAAATGCCTAAAGTAGTCCACTTTTTTGAAGCGTTTACATCCCTTTATAAGTACACTTACGCCGAAAAATTCAGGGGAGATCAATGCGTAAAAATTTTCAAATGACAGGCGCATTAATTTTCAAGCAAAGTAGTTCCCGAATAGTCGAAGATTTCTAATATTGTTTCATTCTTTATAGATATACATGCTTACAGTAAGCTCCATGATTATTTACATCTGTATTAGCGTCGAAATAATGAGTTTCAAACCCTAATGTAGAATAATGTCGTTTTTCTTCAGGCCGATAATTTATCACTTCACCATGGCCGAGGGGTTTGCACGCTCGCTTTTGAATCAAGAGGTCTGGAGTTCAAATTCCAGTTGAGGCAACTCATTTTTTTTTAATTTTAAGCCAAATAAACATTGAATTGACTATCAGTGTTGTCATTAGTCTTATAGCCAATTTACTTCAGTTAAAACACTGGAAAGCATTGGTGGCACTATACAAACACAAACTGGTTTATAATCTCACAACCTTCACCTTTCTTACATTCTGAGACCCAAACAAATTCATCGCTTCTGTGCTTTGATTATTTTTCATTACTGAATGGACATCTATGACACAGAGCCAATAAAACACATTTTTCTAGTTGAAAGGTTATAAGAAATGTGTAATATAGCTCACACAAGATATAATAAATATAAAGCATTTCCATCAATAACGTGTTTTGTTCAATGTTGTCAAAAGTAATAATAAATGAAAAAAGTACTGTTATTGTTTTTAATTGTCTTAAGATTCTAAGTAAAATACAGCTGAAAAAATAATTGAATTACGATGGTTTACATGTAATTAAAATCTTACGTTTAATTAAAATTCATTACTTTTAAAACTTTTACATTTAAGTACAAATTTAAACATTGTAGGGTCATTACATGACTGCAAATTTTCAGTTTGCAATTTTTATATTTGCCATCTTTGGCACATGTTTGTATATAAAATTTCGTTATTACAAAATTCATACTTTCTTATATTTTCTTTTTTACGCTTTTCTTAAGTCTCTAAGGAAAGTAAGGTAACTGAATAACAGACCTGTACTAAATACATGCTATGTTTTTTCCGTTACAGGGTAAGACCATAGCGACGTGTTAGTCAGGATACTAGTACGAGCAGCCCACGGAATAACAAATGCGTTTGACCAATTAGCCGTATGCAAACGAACGCATACACTTACGTTATAACAATCAAAGCACTGAAAGTACTGAGGTATACATTGCTTGATAATATAATCCATTTTTGTCATCAAAGCCATGTTGATTTTGATGCTATGTGATAAAATACATGATCTGGCTTGAACTCTATACAAAGTCAATAAATTGAATCATCGTACAAGACTTAATTACCAAATTATAGTACATCTTTGAACTGTACTTTGATGCATTAATAAATATATACCGGTGTGTTG